TTTTTTGAGACAGAGTCTCACTCTGTCGCCCAGGCTGGAGTGCAGTGGCATGATTTCAGCTCACTGCAACCCCTGCCTCCCGGGTTTAAGCAATTCTTCTGCCTCAGCCTCCTGAGTAGCTGGGACTACAGGTGCATGCCACCATGCCTGGTTAATTTTTGTATTTTTAGTAGAGATGGGATTTCACCATATTAGCCAGGCTGGTCTCAAACCCCTGACCTCATGATCCACCCGCCTTGGCCTCCCAAAGTGCTGGGATCACAGGCGTGAACCACTGCGCCTGGCCGCCTCCACAAGTTTTAAAATCATTTTTATTGAAATAGAGCCATTATAAAGTGTATTATACAACTCATAATTGTACAGCTTACTGAATTTTCACAAAGTGGAAATATTCATGCATCTGGCACACAGATCAAGAAAGATCTTGAACACTACTAGAAACCCTGAAGTTCCTACAACTTTCAAGTCCAACACCTTTTCTAGGATAACCACTATCCTGACTTCTAACACCATATATTAGTTTTGCCTGTTTTTAAAATTATAAATAAAATGAACAATGCAATATGTATTCTTCAATGTCTGGCTTCTTTTGCTCAACGTTATGTGATTCATGCATATTGTTGTATACAGTTTATTTTTGGTCAATCACATTTAGAAATAAATATTTCAAACCAAGTTTAGGAGTATAACCTTGGGGACCTGTAGTTACAGTTTGTTCATTAGTTTAATCTTAGACTCATTCCTACAGAAAAGGAAGACAACTAATGTCCATTGAGAATCTACTATAATACCAAGTACATATGCTGTTTCATTTAAAACCCTTAATAACTATATGAAGTATATATAATTATTTCCATTTTATAAGTAATAAAACAGATTAAGCAAGTTACCACTGTACCCACAGTTACAAATGAAAGATCCAGATTTTGAAATCACATCTGACTGATTCCCCCACCCCACAATGTTTCCCATAGCCACAGAATTTCCTCTTACCCATTTTTCGAAACCACTGAGCTTCATTAGCTCTTGACTCCAAACTGAAGGCTTCTTCACCATAAGGCTGAGAAAGTTTCACAAAGGCTGCATCAAACAGGAAAATTTGATACTGAGAGTTTAATCTTATACTCTAACAAAGTTCTTTAATCCTGCTTTAAGAACAGTCTCACAGGAGTTTGAATTTAGAAAGTTCTTTTTTGTGTATATGATGTGTGTGGGTGCATACCAAAAGTAATTAAAATGACAAAAAGCATTACCAAGTTCCAAGAAGTTGTTAATTCAAACTCTGGGGAACAAACATGTCTTTGGAGAGATTTATAATTTTAATTAGTGCAATCATTCACCACCTGAGGTGGAAAGATATGATTTACATGTGAGGAAATAAAGAATAGAAACAATTGTTTAAAAGACTGAACTAGAGACTGAGAATTGGAAGAGTATCAATACACTGGCATAATATTTACTGAGCCAGCAAGCTCAGGACAGAACCAGAACATGCTATCATTATCAGAAAGCATTTATTACATACCCCATGTCCTTCTGAGAAATAAGAATGCCATCCAGCAAAGTTTTTCTTTTGAAAAGAAGTGGTTTGGTTTCTAAACCACTTTGCTATGTTTAACACCCTGTTGACAGGCATTTGAGATATAAATTGAAATACTGGAATAAGCAGGATAGAATTTCTAAGATATGAACTTTTTGGTGTGTTTTGGACATAAGGAAAGAGGTACATGGACAGTAAAAATGGGAGATCTGTTAAAAGGGATGCCATGTAAGAAGGCATGTAGTTGGAAAAAGAAATGCGATACAGCTAGGAGATTAGCTTGAATAAAGTGGACAGGGAAAAATTATTAGTAGATAAGGGAGATGGTACAGACTTGGGTGGAGAGCTTCAAAATAAGAGACTATACAATCTGAATTTGATTCAGAGGGTATGGAAAATCAGCAGGGTTCAGAGTATTTTTATTTGTCTTGATCCTTTTTCACCTGTTCACTTCTTAGATTAGGATCAAGTGGCTACTAGAAAAGAAAGGTGGAGGGACAAAGAGGGAGAGAAAGGAGGAAGGGAGAGAAAGGAAGGAGGGAGGGAAGGGGAAGGACAAAGGGAAGGAAAAAAGAGCAGGAGGACGGGAGGGAAGGAGATGTTCTTAAAACAAATAGGAATTAAAACAGAGCTGAAATCACATTTGGAGATGAATGCTAATGATGACACACTTTTCTCTGCTTGTGAATGAAGAAACCAAAATAGACTCCTGTAGCAAACATTAATAAGAAGCATGAAGCTTAACTCAAACATAAGGTTAAAGTCAGTGTGCCCAGTGTACTCAGAGAATTCAATAGAGAATAGAGGCAAGATGAAGGACTGAATATAACCAGGGAGCTATTTACCTCTATTCAGGCAAGTCAAAAGTCGATCCATTTCTTTCATTCTAAAAATAAAGAAAAGAATATTTTCCAACTGTTCCAAATCTTTACTACAAAACCTAACTAAAAAGGGACACTATTTGTGCCTGATAATTGAGCTAAGAAAATGCAAAATTGTTAAGTTTTTTACTCAGGACTTCAATCTATCATTTCAACAATCTTCTTCCTCACTGTAGGGTACAGTTACTCATTCCCAGTGCCCTCATATTTTTTCTCTCTTCTACTTCTTCATATACTCTCAGCAAAAGATTTCAACAACTGACAAGGTTTTATATTGTAGAGTCATAATGCTTGAAAGCAGGTGGTAATCTCTGTGATTTATAAGCTTTTTCTGAAGAGGGGGAACTAGAACCCTATTTCAAATAAAATTGTATAAAAGTCTAATATACAAGAAAAGATTAAAGATAAAAGTTGAGCTGCTATGGTTGAACAAGGAGTGGGTGGAGGCTTGGAGCTTCACATTCCTGTAAGTCCTTGAGGCAATGCCACGAAATTTCCAGGGTTCTGAGAAATGCAGTTTAAAAAACTACTTATCTTGTATAGACACATCATTTTAAAGATGAGGAAAAGAGTAGACCCAGGTCTCTTGACCCCTCTGCCAAACTTCTTTAATTTAACAAAGAACTTCTGGCTTCTAGTTGTGCATGTAAGGAGCTTGGAAGTTGCCACTCTGTCCTAACAAGTAAAAAGCTGAACACACTGAAAAGTCATTAACTCTTCTTAGACCTATAAGAGAGGTGCGGAAAAAGGCTATATTGCTGCCACAAAGATTAGAGAGACAGACAGACAAAGACAGGGAGTCACAGTGTACTAGAGCAGAGATTCAGAAGTGGAAACCACCATGGGAACCAGTGCCAGAGTAGGAAAACCTGAAGCATAACTGACAAATCACTGGAGGCTCAGTGTGGACAAGTCTGAGTTAAAAGACTCAGGAGAACCCAGTCACAGAGGGGCCTCCACAATTTTGTGAGTTTTGCCTCCAGGAGCTTGGTTAGATGTTCAGTCAATATTGAAGCAAAATCTCTTTATGCATCTTGCAGGGGGCAGAGAAAATAAAATACTTTAAAACATGCCAGAGTAATCTCTTCTTAACAAGTCTTGCCCCCAAGAGAAACTGCTTAACCACAGCCTGACCTTCTGGAGTATACCAGAGCCTAACTGATCTGGGAGAAGGGAAATACTCACATTCAGTCTACTCTAGCCATCCTGTCCCACCTAATGGTGGAGAAAAACACCTGAGAAGCACTTGTAACATTCACAGTCCACTAAAAGACCACGATCTAATTATAGGACTAAAGAATGCTTCCCAGCCAGGTGCAGAGGCTAATACCTGTAATCCTAGCATTCTGGCGGCCAAGGTGGGAGGATTGCTTGGATCCAGGAGTTTGAGACTAGTCTGAGCAACATAGTGAGACCCCATTTCTACAGAAAATTAAAAAATTAGCCAGATATAGTTACACATGCCTGCAGTTCCAGCTACTCTGGAGGCTGAGGTGTGTGGATCACTTGGGCCTGGGGAGGTCAAGGCTGTAGTGAGCCATGATCATGCCACTGCACTCCAGCCTGGGTGACAGAGTGAAACACCATCTCTTAAATAAATCAATAAATAAATAATAAAATAAAATAATGCTTCTCCTCTCCCCACAATTCACCACCGCATTACTAAAGGCCTATTTATAGTAGTTCCTTTTACCTGGCACATGTCCAGCTTTCAAGAAAAAATTAGAAGGCACACTAAAAGGTAGGAAATACAATTTGAAGAGATAGAGCAAGCATTAGAACTTGACATAGCAGGAATGTTGGAATTATCAGACTGGGAATTTCAGATAACTATGATAATTGATCATGATTAGGATAATTACTGAAAGGGCTCTAGTGGATGAAGTAGACAGCAGGCAAGAGCAGATCAGCAAAGTAATCAGTGAGATAGAAATCCTAAGAACCAAAAAGGAATGCTTGTGATCAAAAACACTGTAACAGAAATGAGAAAACCTTTGATGAGCTTATTAGTAGATTGAACAAAGCTGAGGGAAAAAAAAAATCTGAGCTTGAGGTTATATAAACAGAAACCTCCCAAACTGAAAAGCAAAGAGAACAAAGACTAAAAAAAGAACAGAATATCCAAGGACTATGAGACAACTACAAAAGGTGTAACATATGTGTAATGGGAATACCAGAAGAAGAAGAATAGATAATAGAACAGAAGAAATACTTGAAATAATATGACTGAGAATTTCCCCCAAATTAATGCCATCTATATCAAATCACAGGTTCAGGAACCTCGGAACACCAAACAGAACAAATGACAAAAAAACTGACATCTAGGCATTTTATTTTCAAACTAGAGAAAATAAAATATACAGAGAAAATTGTGAAAAAAGCCTGAGGAAAAAAATACCTTAAAGAGGAACAAAGATAAGAATTACATTCCACTTCTGCTCAGAAACCACACAAACAGGAAGAGACTGAAGCAAATTATTTAAATGTTGAGAGAAAACTCCATTAACCCAGAATTCTGTACCTTATGAAATTATACTTCAAAAGTGAAGGAAAAGGAAGGCTCTCAGACACAAGAGTGGAACAAGTTGATGGAACAGAAGGCCCACCCATCATCCTCCCCCACCGCAGGAACACCAGATTTAACCACTATCTACACACAAAAAAAGGACTTTCATAAGAACCAAAAATCAGGTGAGCACTCACAATACCTGGTTTTAACTTCATATTGTTGAAAGAGGAACTGAAGAGGGTAGGAAAGACAGCCTTTAATCACCAATGCCACCTCTTCCCTATCCCCCAGCAGCTGCATGGTGCAGAGAAATCTGTGCACTTGAGAGAGAGACAGAGTGCAGAGATTATCAGAGTTCGCATTTAACTCAGTGCTGCCCTGTCACAGCATGAAGGAAAACTAGGCTAAACACAGCCAACTCCTGCTAACAGAGGGAGCATTTGGACCAGCTATAGCAAATGGGGAATCTCTCATCGCAGTGGTTGGAATCTGAGTTCCAGTAAGCCTAACCATCATGGACTAAAGTGCTCTGGGGCTCTAAACTTGAAAGGCAGTCTAGGCCACAAGCAATGCAAGTCCTGATGCTGAGCTGGGCTCAAAACCAATGGACTTGGGGGTACAACATACTGAGGCACCAGCTGGGGTAGCTAATGGGGTGCTTGTTCCACCCCTCCCCAACCCTGGGTAGCATAGCTTGTGGCTCCAAAGGAGGCCCCTTCCTTCTGCTTGAAAAGAAGAGAGGGAAGAGTAAGGAGGACTCTGTCTTGCATCTTGGATATCAGGTCATCCACGATAGGACAGGGCACTGGGTAGAGGCATGAGACCCCCATTCCGGGATCTAGCTTCTAGATGACAGTTTGATGTACACCGTGGGAGAGAAGGAAACCCACTGCCTTGAAGGGAAGGACCCAGTCCTGGAAGGATCTATCACCTGTTGACTGAAGAGTCCTTGGACCATGAATAATCAGCAGTGACCCCAAGGAGTATACAGTGGGCCTTGGGTGAGACTCTGAGATGTGCTGACTTCAGGTGAGACCCACCACATTCCCAGCTATGGCAGCTATGGTGAGAGACTCCTTCTGCTTGGGAAAAGCAGAGGGAAAAATAAACAGAATTTTGTCTTACGCCTTAGGTACCAGCTTAGTCACAGTGGGGTAGAACATCAAGTGGGATCTTAGGGGCCCCAATGCCCTGGGCCAGAGGGGAGCCCAGTGCCCTGAAGGGTGAAATGAGGCCTGGCAACATTTACTTAAAGGTGACTGAAGAGCCCTTGGGCTTTAAGTGAACATCAGCAGTAGCCTGGCAGTATTCCACATGGGCCTGTGGAAGGTGGAGGGAAGAGTAGGAAGGACTGTGTCTCATGGTTTGATGGCCAGCTCAGCCACAGTAGAATAGAATACCTGAGGTAGACTTCTAAGGTTTTTGACTACAGTTCTGGCTTCTGTACAGCTTCTCTGGACTCACCTAGGGGCTAGGAGAACATGCTGCCCTGAAGAGGACACAGGCCTAGCTGGTTTCACCACCTGCTGATTGCAGAGCCCTAAGGCCTTGAGCCAACAACACAGGTGGTAGTCAGGTAGTGGTTACAGTGGGCCTTGGGTGAGAACCAGGGCTGTGTTGGCTTCAAGTCTGACCCAGTGCAGTCCTAGTGGTAATGGCCATGGGTGCTTGTATCACCATACCCCTAATGCCAGAT